ATTAAATGAGATAACAGAGCTGAGTTTTTAGTGTAGGGTTAGAAACATTGTGATTGTCTATAAAGAATGGCTCATCATCATCATCATCATCATCATATCATCACTCTTTCTGCTTAGTAGAGTATTTAACACCTGGAAAATACTTAATACTTCATAATGAGTGATCAGATGATTGTAGTAAAGGAGAGTAACGATTCAGGTAAATTATGCCCACTTTTCCTTAATTGTTTAAATAAGATATTTGTTAATTATATAAAAGTATATAAGTAACAGCAAAGTCTCTAGTAGAAATCTTCACCTTGCCATTTGAAATGATATATGTGATGAAATTGGCTTTTGTGTGTATGTGTGTGTGTGTATGTGACACTTTTCCCAATAATTTCTATTTGTTTTTGAAAATGCATAATAAATAAACTCCTGCGAATTTCTGTTTGCCATAAATGTTCACATATCCTATTGAAAGATTTTCACACCATTTTTGAACTTAAGCTATTTATGTGTGTGTCATAGACTGGCAATTTTCAGATTACAGAGCTGCTTTAGTTAGACTGAATTACTGGCTTTTTCTGTTACACTCTTTTGCAAGCACAGATTATTATACAACTTCTGTACTGTGTTTTCCTTCATTTTATGTTTCTCCACTTGGGGAGAATTTCAGAATGGAGATAATTACATAGCACTACATATAGCTATCCCTTCAATTGCCAATGACATCACCTCTGTCTGTAAAGTCGGAAGGGAGGAGCAATGTTAACATGGCCATGTCTGGAACAGCATTGACTCAGCTCTACACACATCAGGTTCCTTAAGATCCAAAAATGAATTCAATAGTGCAATAACACCAGTGTTTGAAAATTGCATTGTACCAATGATGGGATAATATTGCCATTTTAAATCTTGATGTTGAACTTTTAAAAAAAAGTTCTCTGACCAGTTGTTTGAAGAAAGAACACAAGGTTGAAGGGAAAGGAAACTTGATCTCATTCTGGCTTTTAAAATCCCTCCTTGTATTTCATTACATACTTTGTAGATTCCCTTCTAGCTGAATGGTCTGTGAGGTCTGAAAACCTACCAAAGATATTTGTTTTAGTTCTTAATCTTTCAAAAATAATTTTTTGGTTTCAAAGCATTTTCGTGGCATATTCAATTTTAAATACATTGAAATATATATTCGAGATTATTTTGCAAGGATGAGGTCTTGGATCATGGTGCAGGAAAAGAATCTAATTATTTCATTTTCCCAAGACTACATAACTTTATGTGTGCCAAACGTAAGTTTTCTAAAAAAGACTGCTATTCCTGTAAGCCAGAAAGTAAATGTTCCAAAGCTGCAACCACATCTGTTCCATGTATTGGTGGCTTGGAGAAGGTCAGTCATCCTGGTGTTCACTCAGGCATTACCATCTTCCCAGAAATCAGGAAAGTGGACTGGCAACGGTCACTCACCACAGGTCTCTGTTCTTCATCTGGTGAAGGAGTTAAGAGGAAGAGGCAGCTGACCGTGAAGGCATGTGTTTGGGATGGGGAGGATGTTCAGGTAAGAGGAGGTAGTACAGTGGCAGAGAAGGCTGGGCAGTAATGGAGAGGGACATGCCACTTTGGGGATATTCTGATGTTTGGCAATTTAGTAAAATATTCTCAGAGGAAAGGCAACATGATTGCCTTTTCACATGAAAAGACCTTTATTTCCTTTGATTGACGTATAATAATTGCACATTTTTATGAAGTATAACATGCTATTGGAAAATCCGCATACAACGTACACTGATCAAATCAGGGTAATAAGTATATTGATCTCCTTAAATTTTTTTTTTTTCAGGCAGAGTGGACAGTGAGAGAGAGAGACAGAGAGAAAGGTCTTCTTTTGCCGTTGCTTCACCCTCCAATGGCCGCCGCGGCCAGTACGCTGCGGCCGGCGCACCGCGCTGATCCGATGGCAGGAGCCAGGTGCTTATCCTGGTCTCCCATGGGGTGCAGGGCCCAAGCACTTGGGCCATCCTCCACTGCACTCCCAGGCCACAGCAGAGAGCTGGCCTGGAAGAGGAGCAACCGGGACAGAATCTGGCGCCCCGACCGGGACTAGAACCTGTTGTGCCGGCGCCGCAAGGCGGAGGATTAGCCTAGTGAACCGCGGTGCCGGCCCTCCTTAAATGTTTATCATTTCTTTGTGGATTTTCTAGTTATTTCAAAATATATAATATATTATTGTTAAATTTGGTCAGCCTATGGTGCAATAAAAGACTAGAACTTGCTCTTCCTAGGGATCTGTGTCATTGCACCTCCTGACCAACTTCTCTCGAGTCCTCCCCCTCCTCACCCCTCTGCAGCCTCTGGCTATCACTGTTTTACTTGCAACTTTATTAAGAAAGTTGATCTCATTTCGAAAGACCTGACATCCCCTTGTGACTTCCTCTTCCCCCAAATCTGTCTTCCCCAGTGCTGCCAGAACACACATCCCACAACACAGACGTGATCATGCCAATGCCTTGTTTAAAATCCTTTAATGACTGTCCTTATTGCTCTGTAAAAGATGAGCAAACTATGGCCAGTGGGCCCAATTTAACTGAAGGCTGTTTTTGTACGGATGGTGAGTCACAACTGGTTTTTAGAGAATTCTATTTCATGACTTGTGAAAGCCATCTGAAATTAGAATTTCCATGTTCACAAAAATGAAGTTTTGTAGAGCCACACTCATTCATCTTCTTAGTGGCCGTGGCTACACTATACTACAGAGGCAGAGCTGAGCTAACATTTAATAGTTCCATAAACCTAAAATGTTTACTATCTGGCCTTTTATGGCTGTTTACTTCGGTCTAAAGGATAAAATCCTTTGTTTTCTGATTCTTACTTTTTCATGTAGTGAAAACACAGGCTGGCCTGGAATTTATCATGACCATGCTGTTCCCTACTTGAGATGGCTTCCCTCTGGGCTGTGCTCACCCCTACCTACCCAGCCTTTAAGACTCTGCCATAAATTCCTCTAGAAAAAGTTCTGTGAGGAACCTCCCACCCGCCATGGGTGGGTGTCTGCTCTACTGTGTTCTTGTAATAGTTCATGCATGCTTGTTCTTGCCTCCTTGCATCATACCCTCAGAACTGTCAGCTGCCTTGGGACAGAGATCACAGCTTACTTATCAGTGTATCCAGCACTGAACACAGTGCGTGGCACAGACTAGCTAAATGATAAAGGATTTCTGAGTGTCTCAATAAATGAATGACTCCACCTCCCCATGACAGTAGTTTCTAGGCTGCCACCAGATGGAAGTGCTTCATGTGCCTTTGTCAGAGTAATAGATTCTAGAAGAGTTACTAAGCATCCACAGACTGCGGCCTTCCATTTTCTTTCTTGGGCTTTATTCTTAAACTCCACGTAAGAGTCTGTAGCTACGGACTGTGGTGAGCCCATTAATATTAGTTTTCCAATCAGGGAGAGGATTTGAATTTATTTGGTGCCTTTAAGAAAATTCCAGGTATATTCATTATGAAGAAAAAAGTCTTGGTGCCGGCATTGAGTGCAGTTGTTAACCTGCGACTTGGAATGCCCACATTCCATGTCAGAGGGCTTGAGTTAAAGTCCTGGCTCTGCTTCCTATCCAGCTTCCTGCTAACCCACATCATGGGAGGTAGTAGGTGATGACTTATATACTTCGGTCCCTGCCACCCATGCAGAAGACCCAGATGGAGCTCCTGGCTCCTGGATTTGATCTGGTTCGGTTTCAGCTTCTGTGGGCATTTGGGGAGTGAACCAGCAGATGGAAGATTTCTCTGTGTCTGCCTCTCTCTGTATTTCTTTGCCTTTTAGGTACATAAATAAAACTTTTTTTTTTAAAGAGAAACAGAAAAACGTCTAGGGAAAAATAGAAATATCATTCAATATTATTAAATCTGTGGATGACTCATCCACATTGCTTGTTTCTCTTTGTTGAGAAATTAAAAACCAGAATGAACATTACCTTCTGGCCTTTAATTTTGATGACTTTCATGAGAGCCTCAATATTCTTAGATTAAAATCAAATCTTGCAATTATAACCGAGTAATAATAAGCTAGGGAAAATGCTAAACTTGGATAATTTATGCTTGAAGGGATTTTTTTGGTATGTGAATGCAATATTCATGTTTTATGGAAATATTTGTGATGTAATAATCAATGATTTCATTGTAATAAAAATGTTTAATACTTATGACTAAAATTCACTATTCCTCAGGTTGCCCTATCTCCATTCATCTTTACTTATACAATGACCCTTTTTAAAAAATATAAATTTTTTAAATAACAAGGAGAGAGGGAAAAAGAGACCTTCCATCTGCTGGCTCACTCCCCAAATGGCCACAACAACCAGAGCTAGGCCAGGCTAAAGCCAGGACCCTAGAAGTTCAGCTAAGTCTTCCACATGGGTTGCAGTGGTCCAAGTACTTGAGCCATTCTCTGCTGCCTTCCCAGGCACATCAGCAGGGAGTCAGATTGGAAGTGGGGCAGTCAGGACTCCAACCAATGCTCCCCTATGGGATGCATATGTCACAAGCAGTGGCTTAATCTGCTGTGCCACAACTCCAACCCTAGAACGACTCTTTTTAAAATGTGCTTTGTGTAATAGTAATAGTCATCCTTGCTAGGATTCGTGTTGAAACTTAATCTGCAGTGCAACAGAATGAAAGCTAGAACCTTTCAGAGGTGAATAGGCCTTCAGGACTTTGCCCTCATAATGAGACCAATGCCTTATACAGGGGCTGGAGGGGGCAAGTTTCTCCTTCCGTTCCCTTCTCTGAGTGTAGCGACAGCAACAGGCGCCATCTTGGACGCAGGGAGCAGCTCTCACAAGAAACCACACCTGCCAGTGCCTGGATCTTAGACTTCCCAGCTCACAGGACCAGGAGAAAATACACTCTGTTCCTTATAAATGATCTAGGTTCAAGCATTTTGTTATTGCAGCAGAAACAGATTAAGACAATTCTATAACTGGTAATGACAAAATAAAAACATTTAATGAACGATATGAGGCTTATTTTTGAAAGAAAAATATTTATTCACACTATAAAAAGTGACAGTTAAATGTATTCTTCATTGGCAACTTCCTTAGGCAAAATATTGTAGGATTTATTCATACCTCTGATTTTTTTCTACATCATAGTATTTTAGACCTTGAATAGTTACATCTTATTTATCAATGTCTCCCTTTTTGTGCAAAATGAGAAATACAGATACATGTCTTAGTCAAACATTGTATGAATGAACTGGTTGAATCATAATGAGAAATATAAGATTTTCAAAAACTACAACAGGAAAATACTGCTGGACATAAAACCTCTCAACCCTTATCCACCTCCCCAACTTTTTTTTTCTGTTTGGTTATTTTCTTTGTCAAGTTCATGCTTAACTGTGCATTGAACTTTGGCTATTTTATCACAAAATTAGGGTTGTTTTTCTTCTTAACCCTCTAAAACTTTCAATAAATCATAGCTATTTTGTGATGCTACTAGTCACAGCCCTAGTTACCATAGAGAGAAACCAGAGAGATCATCTGACTCCAAGGGTAAAGTAGCATTCAACTGGCATAAAGGCCCAAGTAATTATGTCTGGGCTCAGAGCAAGGCACTCCAGAGTGTGGTGCTCCTGCTCTGGCATGCTGAGCGCTTCCAACAGCAGCAGACAGCAAGGCCTCACAGACAACTCTACCTGAGCTTCTCCCATCCTTCTGTCTCCCATCCCTCCTTCCCTCCTAGAGTGAGACACAGAAAGTGGAATCCCAGGGGTGGGTTTTATGGTGTAGCAGAATAAGCCCTGACTTGCGATAATGGCATCAGGAATGCCTGTTCAAGTCACTGCTAGTCTCTCTATGGTCCAGCTACCTGCTAAACCGCCTGGGAAGCTCCAAGTACTCCTCTACCCATGTGGGAGACCTGGATGGAGTTCTTGACTCCATTAATAAACTTGTCATCCAATACTGTTGCTAAGCTGCCTTTTGGTATAGGAGTGTCCCACTCCCAGGAGGAAGCAATGCAACACAGAAAGGCCAGGAAGAATCCCAACGGACGACCTCACTGGGTTTCCCTGCTGAATCTACGACCTTCTGTCCAGTCACATGTCTATACATCTGTCCAGTCTTTACCAAATGTAGGCGTGAACACAGTTTCCCCCTGGGGCCTCTGAGTCTTCATTTCCGAAGGCTTACATGTCTGTAAAACTGATTACATAAATTCGTTACACATTTCTCTTGTGAACCTGCCTTTTGTTAGAGCAGTGGTAGCTGCAACCCTTATGAAGGGTGAGAGAAGGGATCACACCTTTCTGCTTGTGTAGTAACAAGCTCTAGGAAATACTTTCCCCCTTATTTATCTATTTATTGTTTTTAAACTAGGATGCCTCTGTGTCCTATGTACTGGACCTGCAGAAAACTGCGGTATGAATGACATGTAGTTTAACAAGAAAAACCACCAAGCCAGCAGCCTCTTGAAATGAGGCTCGTCCCGACAGGTCAGGGAGCAGCTTTGAGAGCTGTGAAGCTTCTGCAGACTCCTGGGTTGAGGTTTCCTTTGCTGCTCTAAAATTGGTTGCTCTATCCGAGTGAGGGCAGGGATGGAAGAAAGCGTAGCACTTTACTTTCAAACATGGGCTCTAGAAATACCTCTGTGTTGAAGAATTATCCCTGGAGAATCCATTTTTAGCTCAATTATCTAAATAAAGAATCTTCCTTTTCTAGTAAAGGTGATGCTAAGAAAAGGCCATGCAGAAGATCCTGTCTCTACCTCTGTATGTGGATAGCTATGTGGACAAGCCTCTCTGGAAAAATCTGGGCTTAAGTAAGATTGTGCCTTTGCCTACATATGGACCATTGTAATTTGTTGGGTAGTTTAGGACAAATCTCACACTTATTTAAACCATCATGGTATGGCAGTCCCACTTTTATGAAGGCTTTTCGTCCCCTCACATAAAAAATACAGAGTGAAAAATGCTGAGGTGAGCTGAGTTTTTTCCTGGTAGAGGGGCTGGGAGCAGAGGGAATTTGATGAAGAAGGTTACAGAAGGAAGGAAAGAACACTCCAGCAAGCCTTCTGGACACCTTTAAAGCAAATGAATCCCACCCCACAGGAACATATACTGATGGTATTCCCTCTTATTTCTTTCAAAATATTTATTTATTTATTTGAAAGGCAGAGGGAGAGAGATAGAGATCTTCCTTCTGCTGGTTCACTCACCAAACAGCCTCAACGGATAGGGCTAGGCCAGGCGGAAGCCAGGAGCATGGAACTCAATCTGAGTCTCCCAAGTGGGTGGCAGGCGCCTAAGAACCTAGGCCATCTTCCCAAGCTTTCCCAGGTGCTTGAGTAGGAAGCTGGATTATAAGAGGAGCACCTGGGACATAAACTGCACTAATATGGGATGCCAGAGTCACAGGCGGTGGCTTAACCCATTGCACCACAATGTCGGCCCAGTCCTGATGGCATTTCTTATGTCAATTTTCATAGGAGGGCGTGATTGAAAGTGTTTATAAATAATGAAATGCCCCTTCATGAAAAATACTGATGTATTAAATTTGAGATGTCCTTTATCTTGTGATTTGCCAAAACTGCTTAGGAGAAGGGAGCCCTATGTTCTGAACACCTCTGTTATGTGGACTACGGACAAACTGCCAGGTCTTGAGGCTTTGCTGTTGCTGTCTGCCTGAGAATCTTGCCAGGGAATTGAACTCTCCTTGCCTCAGGCTGCCTGTTGGCTCCATATGGAGATGATATTACCCACCTCTTAGTAATGCTTTGAACTTCATAAGTTACTGGACACCAGGAATTCCTCAGAGTAAAGGGGCTTTTTCCATGGAAAAACAGTATTAAAAAGCTGTGCTGTGTGATTCCAGTTAACCAGGGAGTTCACATTCCGGCTGATAGTTTTAATATTCTGTAAAAGAGCCAAAGTCATTTTTCAAAATGTTTTGCTTAAAAATGCCTTTTTATGGTGAGGACTTGAGTCTACAGAGGGTAATCTTGGGCCAGCCTAATGGGGACAAATAATTGGAAATACTAGAATGACAAGCATGGCTTTAGAAATTCAACCAGCGTTTGTCAACCATGTTACCATTGTCTGTACCTGGACTTAGGACCGATTTTCAGTATACTAGTAAGGAAAGAATTAGTTAACATGAATATCTAAATAAGTTTGGATTCTAAACTTCATACCTTACTTGTTAAATTGATCCTATTTTTCAGATAAGGTTTCAAAGAAATTTTTAAATGTCACAGTAACAAAGAATTTTTTGCTTGGTCAAACTTTAATCAGGCTTCTGAGTCTTCTGCTAGACCCATCTGTACTTCCACGTAAAATCTTATTTTGGCAAAGAGCCTTGCTAAGTCAGTTTGCCAAGAATACTTCCTCCCCTTCTCCAATATCTGATGACCCTCCAATCTCAGTAGCTCCTCATGCAGCCCCCACCACCACTACCACCTATTAAGGCTGGTCACCCTGACCTCTCTTTAGTAAGAACCCTATTAGGTTGTTTCAGCCAGAATGCTCCCTACCCCTGGTGTTTTGTCTTGGTAACTTTCCATCTATTGACCAGTCCCCCCCACACACCCTGCTCCTTGGCTCTGAACTCCCTCTTGTCTATGTTTTGTTCAGAGTCAAATCCAATCTCTACCCCGTTACCACAAGACCCCATTGCAGTGGTCCTGAATAAAGTCTTCCCCACCATGCTGTAACAGGGGTCAATGAACACTTTCTTTCTTTAACAACAGTTTAAAGGTTTCCACCTAGCATGAAATTATTTTGATGTATCTGGAAGCTACTATGGAAAATAAAATTTAAAAATATGTAGTGGATAACAGTGAATCTTCTTTGGTATAAAGAACAATTTACAATAATTTTTAATAAGGAAAAATGAAAGGTTTCTTGACTTGATGTTCAAGTTACATTTATTACTAACATAATTTTGATTTTCAGTATGCATCTTTCATATACAGTCTGGATAAACAGAGGTTGAAATATCTATTTAATTATCAGGAGAACATAGTCTGCTTTTTAGTAGAAGTGTGGACAGTGGAGTTACTTCCGCTTTGAATAGAACAAAGTGTGAAAATCTACCCTCTTTTTAAAACAAACATTTCTATAATTCCTCTCTAATTATTATAACTAAGCCATTTGATAAATTTAAGTCTCAATTTATATGTGTATACACTTAAACCCTAATAGGGTGACCCTTTCCAATGTGTGTGACAGTGCCCAAATATAAGAGACATATTCAGAAATAAATGGACTTGAATCTGTGCATTAATAAAATTCAAAATACAGTACAAATTGTAAGTCAACTTAATAATGGACTCACACATGCAATGATATACTTAAGCTCAAGATGTAGAAAAAGTGCCAAATTAGTGCCTCTATGACTGGTATACTTTACTTTTACAGAAAGTTCTTTTAATCCACAATAAAGCGTGACCTCTTCCTACTCATGTGATTGCTACTATGAGAAAAACGTCTTGTGAAAAACATGTCCTCTATTTACAAAGCAACAACTCTTCCTGGTATTACTGAGAAGACAGACCAGCTTATTTTACTTTTTTTGTGCTGAGTCATCTAGATCTTCTATATGTATAGGAATTAGATCTCAGTGTGGTAGGTGTCCTGTCTCAACCATTAGCTTAAGTGGAAGCAATCTAACTTTGTCCATTTGCAGGTAGGCTAGAGAAAAATAATCTGAGTTTGACACTGGTATTTTTGCTTTTTCAGAATTTTCATCTGCAAAGTAGAGTTTCTTGAAGCATTCATTTTTAATAAAATAGGGGAAGTTCATTTCCTTGTGAGTGAAAAATGAGCAGCTTTCCTACCATGTATTATCTTTTCTGTGATGTATAGAATAGATTCAGATAATGCAAATAATTTTGATCTAATGCAAAGGAAGAAGAGTGTTTTATAATAATATTTAAGTTTAAAACATCTACTTCTCTCTATTTTGAGTCTAGTGAAAGTTCTAGTGAACACGACAAGTATAATGTGTATCAACTGATGGAAATAACACTAACACTTGTAAGAGAAAGCAATAAAATGGAATATGGTCCTAACAAGCAAAATCTTTTCCACTAAATCCTCCATTTGTTAAAACTTTCAAACCTAGAATGATTCAACCACTATAATAAACTTTGAACCAAGTAAGGATTTTAGGTGAAGGATTTCTGAGAATATGCTGACAGACTGATCCATATACCAGATATTATCTTTTAAGATTTCATGGAAATTTGTGGAGTCACTAACAATATTTTACACCTTGAGGGAATTAACACTATATCAATTTAAGATGATTTAACAATATAGAAAATATTTATGTTTTTTTTCTTCCATAACTGAACAAAGTACTATTTGGCTGGTTCTACCACTAAGGTTACCTTTAAAAAAAATTATTTTTTCTAGCCTTGAAGGTAAGGGATTACTTGCACCCTGGAATCTTTTAAATTTTATTCAATGAAAGAGAACATCATAATGATAAATTCGAGTTACAAAAGCAAACAAAGCAAAATTATCGTATTTAAAAACTTGAGCAAGTTTTGAATACTCAAGATTTTATTTAAAAATATTCTAGATACTTGCTTACTGTGTAAAATTTTGAATGTCCTTATATTTAGTGCTTTGTGGGTGTAGTAGTAAGAAGTGGTGTTGGATCTGATTGTTTATTATCAAGCTACAGAGTCATGGGTTAGGGGATTGATGACACAGCTGTCTAACTTCCTTTGAACATCCCACTAGCACCACTAGTTACATAGGCTTCCGTGGCATGTTTCTTCTAATCAAATAAGTGGTCATGACCTATACTTTCATAATAACAGGCATATTCATCTATCATTTCCTTAAACTCATTAATAGATTTTTTTCACATCAGTCCTCCCTCCATGTAACACGTAACATAAAACCTGCTGCCCAGCAATTCCTTTTGGGACCTTTGATGACACAGGCAGTGACACTAGTTACCTAATTCATTCCTAAACTTAATCTGACATTTGTAAAATGAACAACAAAATATGGACAATGCATCAAAGGTCATTTTACTAACGAGAGCATCCCAGAATATCCAAGTTGATAAGGAACTAAGATATCAGATAATCCAATTTTCTCATTTGATAAATTGGGATATCCAAACTCATAGCTACTCCTGTCTCAGGCTGCTGGCTCTAAATTAGATTAAAAATAAATCCTATACATAAACCTTTCAATTCTCCACACATTACATCATTTACCCCCCAAACCCTTCTGAAGTGCCTAATAATCATATTCATTTACATTGATTACATTGATTTTTTCTGAGAACTCCTATATTTCAAAAAGAAAATCTTAATTTTACTAGACATAAAGTGTCTCAGACAAATGCTTGAAATAACACTAAAGAAGTCACTTTTTCATAATCATTACTCATTAGCAGGTTCCCAATGAAAATTTCTCCAGAATTATATTCATTGTTATTACAGCTGATGATAATGAGCACACCATATTCCATTCATTCCTTTCTGGACTAAAGCACATTCAAGAAAACACTTAATTTCATCTAAATTCAGTAGAGTTTAGTTGATCAGACCACTCATATAAATGTAATTAAGATTATGAGTTACTTTTAAGTGCCAGCACATCAATGCAAAAAATAAATTTTTTTCAGAGAAATTCTCAGTGCATCACCAGATAAGGAAGTGATTCATGCTCACAAACCCCTATACACACATAAACACACAAATGCAGATCAATAACCTATAAGAACAAGAAGAGGCCAGAAGTGAATCAAAATCTACCAGAAAAGTCAAAAACTCTACAAAGGAGCATTAAGAAAAATCATAGTTGGCACATGATCAGTTCTTGTAACTTTCATGTTTGGCGTCTCCAGCCCCTTGGGTGTGGGTTATAGTTGTAATCAGCTACTGGAAGACAGTAATCAGACCTGGTTTCCAAGGACATTATTTCAGAATCATTTCTGGAGACTGGCCTATAACATGCATATGGCAACTGGGAACCATATTGAGAACTGCTGGACTTATTATTATTATTGGCTAGGGATGTGACATTATATTCTTGCTTTCTAAATGAGCTGGTGTTGGCCTTCTGGGTTTGAGGAACATAGGGGAATCTCTCATTCCAATCTTGTGGAGGCCCTGGAAGCACCTTCCTCCGAGCTGCTGAGACCACATTTGCCACAATGGATTCCTGGATGTTTCTAGGTCCGAAGGCATCATCCACTAGACCAAGGGGAGACTTTGCAGCCGCTTCCCAAGGGGTTGGTCTCTTGCTTGGTTTGTCCATCCCATCAGCTGACTTGCTAGAGTAGTTATAAGCAGGTTGGTATCCCCAGGGAGATGTTGTAGAAATGGTGGGTGGCATAAATCTTCCGGGAACAGAAAGGGAGCGCCCAATCTCCTAAAAATAATAAAAATATTAATATAGCTCATTCATGCATTTGTGCTGATTATTATCCCAAAATATTCCTGGTACCATTTCCACCTTCTGCACGAATCAACCTCCCACAATGCTTAGTCTTAGAGCCCGCACAGGAGATGGCTGTCGTGTCTTACTAGCTCTGGTCTGCCACTTGACTCCTTGTCCTCACTTGGCCTCCTAGCTGCTCTCCCTCTCTGAACCCATGACACCAATCGCTGCCATCTTTCTGAAGCACAATTCACGGCTGGAGCCCTGTCATGGGTGAGAACCGCCTTAGCTTCTGCCCGTCCCAAACACATTCATATCTATTCCCTCAGCTCACCCTCATTCCAGTTCTGTCTTCCTGGCACAAAATAAATAAAGCATGTTGATTACCTTAGAAATGGGCCATAAGCTACTGTGCCTTTTACTTTTCCCTTGTGACTTTAAAGCCATCTCATTTTGGTCCAGTGAGTGTAGCAAACACAAACAAGAGCTACTTAGACCAGGAATGATAGAGTGGTTGGCCTTTGACTTCTCAAAGATGACACGGATCTTTATTTCATAACCATGGTGCATTGCCCACGTCTCTGAGGATATCATTTTGTTTATTTCATTTGTGCTTGTTTCCTTCCTTTTCATTTATTACATTCCCGTTTCTTTAAGACTTAGTGTCCCTGCAACACCCTGCTAGATGTTCTGCTTGACTAATACACAGCAGCTGAATTTATTGAAAGTTCTTGTGTTCTCTCCCATTGCAGATTTTGCATTTCCAGGGACCCTGATTCCTGGCTATCCACATTACTTCTTTCTGTATTCTTAATTGTGGGTTAGCAAGGGCACACCTGGGGGAAATGAGTCAACTTTGAAAGTATCAAAACATTGTGTTTTTGAACAAAAGGCCCCTGCTTCAAAATTGTGTTCAGATTTCATAAACAGTTTCCACAGGTTTAAGCTTAATCAAATTCTTAACTTTAAAGTGAATAGCAACACCTGGACTTAAGCAAAATATCTAAAATGCAAATTTTTTGTTTGTTTGTTTTCCCTATTAGGCAAACAGAGAAGGTAGATGATACATTCTTGGTTCACAGATGAAAATTAAGGGGGTAAATATAATGGAAGTGAGTACTCTGTTTTTAATCATTAAAACTTTACCAATAATGATGGAATCCTAGCAAAAATCTTGTTTTAACTCATTTCTTTACCTTAATCCCAGAACTAGTCATAAATCCCCTTCACCATTAAGTTGATGGGGGTAGAGACCAGACACTTGTCACCATTATTTAAGGCTTGGTTTCTATTCTACATTATTTAAGTGTTGCCTTAAAAATCATTCAAGAAAAACTTTTTTTCTTTTAACAGAGAGAGGTAGAGACAGAGAGAGAGAGGTCTTCCATCCGCTGGTTCACTCCCTAGATGACCACAACGGCCAGAGCTGCGCTGATCTGAAGTCAGGAGCCAGGAGCTTCCTCCAGGTCTCCCACATGGGTGCAGGGGCCCAAGGACTTGGGCCACCTTCTACTGCTTTCCCAGGCCATAGCAGAGAGCTGGATCGGAAGAGGAGCAGCTGGGACTAGAACCGGCGCCCATATGGGATGCCGATGCTTCAGGCCAGGGTGTTAACCCGCTGCACCACAGCGCTGGCCCCTGAAAAACTTTTTGAACACATAATATTTCCAGGCACTTTCCTATAAGCTAAAGATACAAAGATGAAGAAGTTCTTGCTCTCAAGAAGCACAAAGTTCAGGCCTATTTTTACCTCCATGGGGGCAAGTTAGTCAGTCATAGAGGAAGAGACTCTGTCTTGACAAGAAAAGGAAGAATTTTCTAACTTGTGAGTAGTATTAAGATTCAGTGTGATGAAGAAAAATTGAGCTATTTTCTGTAGTATATGTCTGTACCTCCCTTTTATCCCTGCTAATGGAAGAGTGAGAACAACAGTTTTCTACAGGATCCCTGGGACGATTTTCCCGTCCCATTGATAACTGCCTGATGTGGTCTTTGATCAGATGTAAAACATCAAGGGCTTGCTTTATCAGGTCTTTAAAACAACAGAGAGTTGAGAGTATGGCAATAGATAGAGAGATCTAAGGCTCCACAGATCTCTGTATGGCTAATAACTGGAAAAAGAAATAATTATCAATATTTGAAAGTATTAAGTACTGTGTGAATGCTTATATGATAGTGACAAGATATCCAAAATGATAGATGAAAGATAGGAATTTATTTTCTGTTCTTTTTCCCACCCACTTTGCTTGAAAACCTTCAGAACTGAAATGTAGCAGAAATTAGAAAGTTAAAACATTGGTGAGTAATATCCTAATAATGAGATTAGAGGATTTTTTTTTTCTTTTAGCTATGGTATAAATGTCAATCAATTGAATGTGTCAGGAGAAGAGTGAAATTTTGAAGCATGATTTGGAAGAGTAGGTTAAAGCTTTCTAAAGAGAAATTAAAAATAGCATGGAGGTTTAAAACAAAATCCCATGCAGAGTCCGCATATGACAATTTCAGCAGCAGTGTTGATTGTGAGAAAAGAAAAGCAATCAGCTCAGTGCACAATGGTTATTGCTCTTCCATGTCTTATTCAGACTGCTGAACACTTTCCTTCCAGGGCTAACAATAGAGAAGAAAATTATCAATTATCCTAGATGAGAGATTCAACTGTGATATAAATAAATCAGCCTTTAGGCATATAGTTATTTCTGTTTATGCCCAAAATATTGCAGACCTCTGGTCTCTGCTTAAATCCAAACCCTAATCTTAACACACAAAGCAACTTCACGTCTTATTCTCTGATGTCATTTCCTTCTGTCCAGCTCTGTCCCTAGGCTCAGGCTGTTCTCTGCCTGGCTGACCAAAGGAAGCCACGTGATAGCCCCTGAGCCAGCAATGACCCAAGGGATCTGAAAATAACAGAGGTGTTTCTTCTATTTTGAGGTTTGAACGTCTGATGCCAGCACCCAGTGTATCAGCCTGAGTTGTCACTCCCACTGTGGACTGAATTATTATCTGAGGAATTTAAATGTTGTATATGAGAACACTTAACTGTAACCAATATGCTAAACTGGCTTTACCCATAGCATTTCATCCAATTGCTTCCTTCTTTTTCTCTCCTACCACCATTTAAATTGTATTAAATAACAGAAGCTCTTCCACCACCACTGGGTGATGATGAAACAGGTCCTTGACATTCTGCTTACCTTTACGAGTAATTCTAGGGTGACTTTAAGTCTCCCAAACCAGTCTTATTTTGAAAGAGAAGGTTCCATCACCTGTAATCACAAGCTCCAACTTCAAGTGAGATCTCTTCTGCTTCCCCAGTGGAGCCAGTTTCATGAGGTTCAGTTCCTTTAGGGAAGGCCTCACTGTTGGCATCTTCACTTGCTCCCTCCCCTGTCTCTCCAGCTTGCTAACTCTGCCTGCTGGCACCCTGGGTTGAAGGGCAAGGATGGAGAAGAACGAGGCCAGAGGAAGCTTTTCCTTACTTTGATAACCTTCTCTTCTGGCTTTTTCCTTTTAGGACCAGTCAGACCCAGAGAGGGACACTTTCCTGGGATACTGGAAGATTCCCATCACTAGGTACATTTTACCTGTAGGCTTTGATCCATCCCAATCTGTCTTTGTTCTAGGGGGTAACGTGACTTGTCTGTACTGCCTTAAGCAGCTGTCTATTTATGGCTTGTAGCTACCAGGATCCATTGCCCCTCTGGAGAGGCCCCATGATGACACCCTCCATCCCTCCCTTGCTCCTGGCCTGTACTGGTCCATGGGTAACAATTCCATCATTTGCCTGTGAGGATGTGGCAGCACATTTCCTGTTTTTCGTGTTTTTTTTTTTTTCTCCATAATAGTTTGTTAGCCTGTACTTCACCCCCAGCTTTCCCAAGAGGGCATCAGATCCCAGTCCACTCTGACCTCCTGCCCATCCCCATGCTGGCCTCTCATGTGTGATCTAAGAAGCCACCTTGATACTCCCACAAGACTTGAGATATAGGGATGGAACCTTCACTCCAGCTACTCCCAACACACACATCTACGACACTTCACAAAATCCGCTTTCCTTGGTGTATCAGGTGCCCTTTAGTTACCTGGACCTGGCTGAAAGGTTCAAGAGTTAAGTAAGTAGCTTGCTACCATTTCCTTTGTAAAGTATGCATTTTAGTCTGGACTCTTACTTCAGTGTGTAATGTCCAATGCGGGCTTTAGGTGAAACTTCAGCCTCAATATTCTGTTAGGCTAACATACCATTTTCGGTAGAGCATTAAGTTCTCTTGTTTGTCTTTCTAAAATAAAATAGGGGTGGGTATATAGTCTAGTAGTTAAGAAGTTGCTTGGGAGCCAGCGCAGCGGCTCACTAGGCTAATCCTCCACCTTGCAGCGCCGGCACATCGGGTTCTAGTCCCAGTCAGGGCGCTGGATTCTGTCCCGGTTGCCCCTCTTCCAGGCCAGCTCTCTGCTGTGGCCAGGGAGTGCAGTGGAGGATGACCCAAGTGCTTGGGCCCTGCACCCCATGGGAGACCAGGAGAAGCACCTGGCTCCTGCCATCGGATCAGCGTGATGCGCTGGCCGCAGCGCGCCGGCCGCGGCGGCCACTGGAGGGTGAACCAACGGCAAAGGAAGACCTTTCTCTCTGTCTCTCGCTCTCACTGTCCACTTTGCCTGTCAAAAAATAAAAAAATAAATAAAAAATAAAAAAAAAGAAGTTGCTTGGAATGCCCACATCCCCACTCTCAGTGTGCGCTTCCTGCTAATGCACAGCCTTGGGAGACAGCAGGTAACATCTCAAGTAGTTGGATTCCTGCTATCCAAAGCGGGGATTGAATTCCTGGCTCCTGGCTTCAGCCTAGCCCAGCCCTGACTGTAGCAGGCATTTGGGGAGTGAACCAACAGATGGGATCTCTCTCTTTCTGTTTCTCCAATAAATAAATGTCTTAAAATGAAATATAGGCTAAACTTGGATGGAATTTTTTTTCCTACTAATTAATTCTAAGGAACTT